GATGAGTTGTTACGTTGGCAGTCATGTAAAAAATCTCAAATGATACAAAGGCCATGACTGAAAACAGACCCCTGAAAAATGTTCTTATAATAAATTAGAATATTAAGTTAAACGATATCTCCCAGCCCTAATTTTATTACTGAATTATATTTTAAATTAATTAGATTTTTTTAATCCCTGAGGAGCAACCTGTTATCAGAGTACCATATTTGCTCATTTGTGGAAATGGGGATTTCTGGTGAGTTCAGCCCCATGACTCATCTTTATAGTCATCTCCACACTGTCCAGCTGGTTGCCATGACGCTGCTTTGACAGGAAAAGGTAATATGGCCATTTACAGTCACCAGCCATGAGTGTCTGACAGGAAATCTGTACTCTGTGATTCCTCGGTTTGTGCATCTGTCTATTCTGTGAGACGTGGTTCCCTTTTTCTGATTTTTCATTCCAGTTTTCTTTATTAGTACTCGTCTTCACTGAGCTAATCTCACTCTGGATGTGACGTGAATACACAGTGGAGCTTGAAGCACAACTGATAATGCATTCTGGTTGGCTCTCAGCTGTCTGAGATGAGATGTTGTATTCTTCTTCTTCACCGAAATGCTCGCTTTTCCTTCATTTCTTTGTTCTTCACATGATCAGAGCTGATAAGTACAAATATATTCTTATCTGTTTAATTATCAGGGCAGGGGTTCGCAGTATGTGTTAGCTCTCAGATTCTAATCACTTCTTAGTCATACAATGTGACAACAGCTGCTGCGATGTTCCCGTTGTTTATAGCAGTAGCAGATTAAAATCTTTAACCTCTGTGCTGTTATCTGACATAAGAACAAGAGGAGAGAGAGGTGATCATTTCCTGTGTTTTATAAAGACATTAAAGAGGAGGAAATTAGTCCAATTATTATACTGGTTCAGCATTTTCATAAGCATTTTTATGCAGATGTTACGTACATCCCAGAAGCATTTTCTCTTCACTTCGTTCAACTCCCCCCTTTTTTTCCCAGTTTCTCTTTTTTCTTGAAGCCATTTACAAATGAGCCGTTGCATCAGAAGAAACAATGTTAACTCATTTCCCTGCTGCAGGGTGACTCTTTTCAACCCTCATTATTCAAAGCACTTGGCTTTTGCTGGCCCTCCCTCCCTCAATTCTTATTCCATTACTCCCCCCCCCCCCCCCCC